ATATATATATTATACAAAGGCTTCAAGTTCCACATTTCAATGAAGATTAATATGTACACACACACACACACACACACACACACACACACACACACGCACGCGCGCGCGTGCGCCCCTGTCTTCATGTCTTTGTATATGTGTGTGTGTATGAATTCCTCCCTGGAATGTATTCATCCCTAACAAATTTCCTAACAAACATTCCTTACCTACCACTTCTCTAAATTTCCTTGAACTTAATTTGATTTATACTCTAATTATCCTTATTCCTTTCCCCAATAATTCTGCTTCCCCTTACTCTTGTTTACAAATTTGAATGCAATCCTCCTGAGATGACTGTCATGACTACAATGGAAAGTATCAGGATTCCTCAAGCTAAAGTTACTGGGTTTCTCACTCAGAAATTGGGAAAGAAGCTATGAAATCTAAGCCGTAAGTGCCTGAATACCTATATCACAGCATGAATGTCCTACCGTGATGGGACCTAAGAGATACCTTCCCTTTCTTTTCTCTCATCCTCCTCCTTTGGGCTGTAGCTTCTTGGATGCAGACTGATGGGGGCGGGGTATTAGTGTGAGGGTGGAATTAACTATTCCTTTAAACACAGATCAAATCCAATATATTTTTCCTCCTGTGGTACTGGGGATCAAACCTGGGACTTTCACAGAGCTACACCTCAGCCCTATTGTTTTAAAACAAATTTTGTTAAAATTGTAAGACAGGATCTTGTTAAATTGCTCAGACTGACCTTGAACTTGTGATCCTGTGCCTCAGCCTCCCAAGTAGCTGCAATTACAGATGTGCACCACTACACCCAGTTCAGATTCAGTACTTTTTGAAAAATAAATCTACTTTTTAGCTTTCTAATGTAAGTTGGTTCTTGCTTCAATAATCAAAGAATAAAAGAAGCTTTAAAATCTCCAAAATTGGGGCTGGGGTTGGGGCTCAGCAGTAGAGCGCTCGCCTAGCATGTGCAAGTCTCTGGGTTTGATCCTCAGCACCACATAAAAATAAGTAAATAATAAATAATAAGTTATTAAAATCTCCAAAATGACTCTTACTCTGAGTGAAGAGTATCAAATATAAAAAAGAATTAATTTACCTTTAAATCCAGCTGCTTCAGCTTGTTTATACATGCCAAGGAAAAAGTAGGTGCAGGCAAGGTTCACCCAGACTTCAGGATTGCAATTTTCCTCTTTTGTTGCATTTTCATATTCCTGAAATACATGTAAAGTGGTGATCTCATTTTGGCAGTAAAGCAATTGATAGGCCATCCTTCTGTAAGGAAATAAGATTTCTTACTCAGATAGGACAACTTTCCATTTAGAGAATCTTACCAACTCCTCATTCTGTGCCTTAAAAAGTGAGATACTGAAGCTGAAACTCAATCCTCCCGATGCAGGGCTCTTGTGCACTTAAGTCTACACTAGGTTTCCCCTCTCCATGTTTAACACTGATAATGATAACAAACTACAGACATGAAAAATAACAAAAATATTTTATTTTTTCTAACTTAAAAAGACATATAAAAGTTAAATACTGGGCTGGGATTGTAACTTATATATGGTACAGCACTTGCCTAGCATGTGTGAGGAACTGGGTTCAATCCTCCGCACCAAATATAAATAAATAAATAAAATAAAGGTATTATGTCCATCTACAACTAAAAATATTTTTTAAAAAACTTAACTACTTAGATTCAATTAACTTAAAATCTGATAGCTTTAATGCACTTTAATTTTATTTCATTCTATTTCATTTTATCTGTTTCAGAGGTAAAATGCTTGCTTAGCCTGCATGAGGTTCTGGGTTTGATCCCTAGTACTACCAAATGAAAAATTTTTTTCATTCATTGTATTTATTTCCAGTATTGGTAATTTTTGTTAATTTGTCTTTATTTTTAAAAAATATTTTTTAGTTGTAGATGGACACAATACCTTTATTTATTTATTTTTATGTGATGCTGAGGATTAAACTCAGTGCCTCACATGTGCTAGGCAAGTGCTCTACCACCGAGCCACACCCCCAATTCTTAATTTGTCTTTATGTTTAAAAAGGTATTTAGGGGCTGGGATTGTGGCTAACAGTAGAGCGCTCACCTAGCACGGGTGGGACCAGGGTTGGATCCTCAGCACCACATAAAAATAAAGGCATTGTGTTGTGTCCATCTACACCTAAAATATAAATATTAAAAAAAATAGTGGTAAAAAGGTATTTAGCCTCACATGTACAAGGCCCTGGGTTCAATCCCCAGCACCACATACACACACAAAAAAGGCATTTAATTTCTTACCAAGGATCCTTTCTGAGATTCACTTTGTTAACCGCATTTTCCACATACTCTTTCTTGTTTTTCTCAAACACCTTTGTTTATTTTTGTACTACATTTAGGTTACTTTTTTCCCCTATATCTTTCACAAACAATAACCAGCTTCCATTCTGTCCTTTACATATTTCTTTTTCCTTCAAGAATCTTGTTTCCTTTGTTCTTCAACTTACCTCCTCATTACCTGGCCTTAGATATTTTAATTTCTGTTATGCAGTCTTCAAATTCTTTTTAAAAACTTTTTAAATATACTTTTATTTTATTTATTCATTTTATGTGGTGCTGAGGATCAAACCCAGCGCCCCGCAAATGCTAGATGAGCACTCTAACCTGAGCTCCAGCCCCAACCCCAGCCTTTAAGGTTACATTTTGAATAAGAATATGTGGGAAATGTTTCAGCAATTTCATTTATAAATAAAAATTGCTTGACATAAGGCATCTATAATTTTATTTAGACCCATATTCCTACGTATTAATCATTGCAGATGGGGTAGGGTTTGCAATGATCAAGAAAAATGATTAACAAAGAAATGATACTTACAATAATAAAAAAATTACATAAAGATCATACAATCTTGTTTATTGTCTGAAAATAACCAAGCTAAATAAAAGTGAAATTCTTAACAAGATGCATACTCACATGCTGGAATACATATATAGATTTCTGAATCAATACATTTTATTTATTTATTTTTGGGGGTTTGGTACCAGAAATTGAATCGTAGCCACTGAGCCACATCCCCAGCCTTATTTTGTATTTTATTTAAAGACAGGGTCTCACTGAGTTTCTTAGTGCCTCGCTTTGCTGAAGCTGGCTTTGAACTCATGATCCTCCTGCCTCAGCCTCCTTGAGCTGCTGGGATTACAGGTGTGTAATATCCTGCCCAGCTTAAATCAATACATTTTTTAAAAAGCCAGTGGGGACCTCTATTAATAAAGAAGTAGGACAGGGGACAGCAGATAGGGTGATTTTGGTTTTCTGTTTTTACTTTGTTTCCCTCCATACTGTTTGAATTTTACCTGAATAGATGTTATTATAATACAAAGTTTAATAATATTTTAAACACATTCCTGTTAGACTGTTTTTTAATTTTACTAACCTCTAAAGCTCTCTTGTAGTCACCCAGGTGAAAAGCACAGTATCCAATCCACAAATTAGTATCCTCTTCTTGTTCTCCAACGTGACGTTTAAACTTCAGGTTTAAAGTTCATTAAAAAAAAAAATCATGAAAAACTTTGAACAGTAAATCCTCCATTTTAAAAACTGCTATGTTAAGGGCTAGGGATATAGCTCAGTTGGTAGAGTGTTTGCCTTGCATGCACAAGGCCCTGGGTTCGATCTTCAGCACCAAAAAACAAAACAAAACAAAACAAAAAAACCCTGCTATGTTAAGTTACTACTCAATTTTCAGCAAGCTAAGTAGTACATGCAGAACTGTGCATTCATTGTGCCTTTACTTACAATACTCAGCACAGTTACCTTCCAACAGTCTCAGAAATTTGTATCTTCAAATATTTCACACTTGTTTTTCTGTACTCATTGACACCTTACTCCAGAAAGTATGTGAATTATCTAATAATTCTGGATGATATGTATGGAACAAAATAATTGGGTGAAATAGTTAAAGTCAAGAACTAAAGGTCAGAGAGGCTAAGCAAGGAATTCAAGATCACACAGTCTGTATAAGTGGTGACAGGGACTTAAAGTAGTCTGCCTCCAAAGCCCGTATTCCCAACCTCCATGCTTACTGCATTCAACCTCATTCTTCCACACACAAGCACACACATATTTATTAATAATGCACTGAGGACAAAGTGTTAATTCACTCTATTACCCTTGACTTGGGTCATTTACCAAGTCTAAAGGAGCTACAATATACAGAAGACTGGCTTCATTTATATCCACTATGAACAAATATTTATGAATTACTCAACCAATAAAGGAAAAATCCCATTTTGGAGGAATAGACTGAGACTTTGAAAGAGGACTTTTTTTTTTTTGAGCTGGGGATGTAGCGCGCTGGCCTGGTATGCGTGCGGCCTGGATTCGATCCTCAGCACCACATACCAACAAAGATGTTGTGTCCGCCGAAAACTAAAAAATAAATATTAAAAAAAAATTCTCTCTCTTAAAAAAAAAGAGGATGTTTTTGTTTTGTTTTTACTCTACAGTGTGATAAATCAATAGTGAGCCAATACATGTTCATAGAGTATCACCACAGTGGCTCAGTCACCCCAAGAGGAAGACATCTCTTAGATACCTTTTTGTCTAGGATAAGAATTTACTCTTCTCACCAAATGCTATGAATTTTAATATAGTGCCTTAAATCTGGAGGATTTCTTGAAGAATTACCCCTGAATTTGCCCCAGGAATTCCCTGGGGAATTTAAATTCCAAACTCTAATAGTTACCATTCCCCACTCTAATTAGCTACCTGAGAATGTAGGCATAGAGCAGATTACCCCTGCCAATTTAGAGGTCTTAAATTATAAAATAAAAAATGTCGTTGCCTTAAAGAAAAGAGAGAAAATAGAATGACAAAAAATAGACTTATACAGTCAATCCACTGATTGATAGAGTTAGCAGGTCCTTCCAAGTCGACCCCCACAAATGCAAAGATGAGTTGCCACTAAAAAAGCTAACCACTGTGCTCACTACCTAAGCACTAGTAAGACAGAGAAGACTGGGAAATAAAAGTAAAGTTAATTAAAACAATTATTATAGATAGATTTGTAGCAATATAGCAAGAGTAATGTTTTGGAGAAATGATTGCAGCACCACACAACCAGACCACCCTGTCCAAACTCTTCATCTTCTGGTGTACTCCTACACTCTCCTCTAGCTTCTCAAAAAACAGTTTCTCCAAAATACAATCTCTGTGGACCATCTACATTAGAAGCACTTAGACTACTTACCTAAAATGCAGATTCCTGAGGACCGCTGCAGACCTAAAGAATCAGAATTGCTAATGCAGGAGTTCAGGAAGACAAGCGTCTTGGTAACTACTCTAGGTATTTCCAAAACATACTAAAAGGTGAGAACGATTGAGGCTGGGCATGTAGCTCAGTGGTAGAGTTTATGCTGGATTTCTGGACTCTATCTCCAGTAGTGTGTGTGTGCACAGGGGGTGGGGGTTAGCCCTACTGCCATAGAGATTTGAAAGGCTTTTTATATTATCAAAATATGAACATGGTAGAATTGTTCAAATTTGACCAAAATTTTATTACATAATAGAACTAATAATGCCCAGGAGTTAGGATAAACACTGTGAGAAATGAAACTGTATTAAGTGTCACTCCATATTTTTAGGTTGAATCCACTATCTGTGAAAGGAGACACAATCAAAGTGGCCCTTAAGAAAGAAGTTGTTTTTTTTATTGTTGTTTTTAAAGTTCATCTTCAGTCAGGTTTATAGTTAACTTGGAATCTGCAATTTACCAGATTTACTAGGTGTTTCCTTGAAGAAACCCCATAATGCATCCACCTGTTACAACAACATAGCAACCAGCATTCACCTGAACATTCATCTATAGTCTAGTATTTACCAAATCAAGAAGCAATCTTCTTTGGACCTTACCTCCAATAGGGTAATAGCGCCAGTGAAATCTCTTTGTGAAAGTAGCTCCTCTAGTTTTGGAATCTTCCTACCTTTCTTCTTTCTTTTGTCAGAGTGCGGTACTTCCCCGCCTACGGCAGGCTTGGCCCTTGAAAGCATCTGCAAAAGAAACGACGAAGACAACTGAAGGGTCCAATTTCTTTTTTTTTATATATATATATATATATTTACTTTTTAGTTTTTGGCGGACACAACATCTTTGTTTGTATGTGGTGCTGAGCATCGAACCCGGGCCGCACGCATGCCAGGCGAGCGCGCTACCGCTTGAGCCACATCCCCAGCCCCTGAAGGGTCCAATTTCGATGGTCCGTTTTAAACTGAGTGACAGCTCCACGATTTACAAGTCAAATCCTTAACAACAAATTTGAAGTCTATTCAAATTCCTTTGGAAGCACTGCATTTTCCTAAGAGGGCCATCACTCTGTACTTGAGCTGAACCCAACAGCTACTCCCAACTTCTTTACCCACTGAAGACGCTTCCACGCAGCTTTTGTCTCCTCGGCCTCCCCTTGCTCTGCTGTCCATCCCGTGTGCAGCTCAGGTGTGGGGAAATGGAGAAGCGGGAGGGAGGAAAGCGTCAAGGCATTCAGGTTTGCATCCCTCCATACCCCCGTGGGAACGCACAAGGCTGGAGGGACCAGCCTCTGCAGACACACCCGGACGGTACCTCAAAGTGTGCCGGGAGTCTCTAGCCTCCAGCCCCGGACCCCTTTACTATCCAGAGCCACTAACCATCTTGGCGTCGTCCCCGTGAGCCCTCTCTGCAGATAGACAGCAAAGGCCGCGCCTCCGCTGGGCGCCGCATCCACACAGCTCGATCGGTCTCCACGGCAACCCCGCCGGGCGGCTGGTCCCTCTGAGAAAAGAGCTCGTCGGAGAACCAGCGACCTCCGCTTTTTGGTTCCGTACACTTCCGCCGTGGACAAGTGGACGTTCGTCTCTTGGGAGGAGAGCGACGTTCTTTGTGCTGAGAGCGAGTTTGGCTGTGTCTCTATTTACGAATTTGCTTTAGGAGAAGACTAATTAGAAAGGCATTGATTTTCAAATGCAAGCTCCTTGGGAGATAGATTTCCGAGGACCACTTCCGTTTTGGATTTGGGCTCCATAGCAACCCTGGGCTCTGACACCTTCTCTGTGTCTCCTGCTAGGGAGGGAGGAGAACCGAGGGCGTTGACATTTGGACGCGGAAGTGGAACCCAAATCGCTTCTTATCTGCTTACTTACGCCCCCACACTATAAGGAAATGTGATAAATATTTGCTCCTGGCTGGCCTCTGTGGGACATGCAGCTCTCCTAGTGGCTGGGGAGGCTGCGGCAGCAGGATCACGAGTTCAAAGCCAGCCTCAGCAATTTAGCAAGGCCCTAAGCAACTTGCGAGACCCTGTCTCAAAATAAAAAATTAAAAGGACTGGAGATGTGCCTCAGTGGTAAAGTGCACCTCTATTCAATCCCAATAATGTGTCCCCAAAGGTATTTCACTCCCGAACCCAGTTAGCAGGGCAGCAAAAGTAGTCTTCAAAAATCACCAAACCATGGAATGCTGGAGCTGGCAGGCACTTCAGCAGACACCCAGCCAACCTCTTAGAATTAACAGACTAAAGTCTGTTAATTCTAATAGTTAGAATTAACAGACTAAAGTAGCCTCGCGTGGTGGTGCAGACCTGTAATCCCAGCCACCGGGGAGGCTGAGTCAAGAGGATCTCAAGTTAGAGGCCAGCTTCAGCAATTTAGTGAGAACCTGTCTCGAAAATTTAAAAAAATAAAAATAAAAAAGGGCTGAGGATGTGGCTCAGTGGTAAAGAGCCTCTGGGTTCAATACCCAGTACCAAAAAAAGGGGTGGGGGGAGGATGGGAATATAATTCAGCAATAAGGAGCCCCTAGGTTTAATCTTTATGGTGTGTCCGCGCAGGTACACACATACAAATTAACAGACTAAAGGACTAACATATTATTAGTTAACTAACAAATTGAGTGACTATTAACTTGGGTGTGGTAAAGTATTCCCTGAATAACGAGTCCTGTGGAAATTCAAGTGTACCACAAACTCATGGAAGGTAAGTATGATTTCTTAGAGTCCTTTGCTCCTGCTCCAGCCGCAGTCCTTCCTGTCACTCCCTGAATCGGTTTAAGAATGAATGCTTAGGGCTGGGGTTGTGGCTCAGCTGTAGAGTGCTCGCCTAGCACGTTGGAGGCCCTGGGTTTGATCCTCAGCACCACATTAAAAATAAACAAAATATAGGTATTGTGTCCACCTACAACTAAAAGTAAATATTAAAAAAAAAAAAGAATGAACGATTACTTATCTCAATTCACTGAAAATTATTGTTTTGTATAAACATGGATATATGGAGACACAGAAAGGTGCATACAGAGACTTCAGACATGCACAAAATTTACCAGAACTGTAGTTATAATTATTTTGGTTGCAATTTTCAGAAATATCCATATTTTTGGTTGAATTCTACTTATTTTTTATTTTTTTAATGTATATTTTGAATTGTAGTTGGACACAATATCTTTATTTCAATTATTTATTTTTATGTGGTGCTGAGGATCAAACCCAGGGTCTCCCATATGCAAGGCAAGTGCTCTACCGCTGAGCTACAACCCCAGCACCTTTTTTTTTTTAATATTTATTTTGAGTTGTAGTTAATTATTTTTTGATACTGGGGATTGAACCCAGGGGCCCTTTACCACTGAACCATATCACCACCCCTTTTATTTTATTTTATTATTTTGAGACAGGTTCACACTAAATTGCTGAGGCTGGCCTTGAATTTGGTATCCTCCTCCTGCCTCAGCCTCATGAGTTGCTAGGACTACAGGTATGCATCAGACTTTAATTAAATTTAATTAATTAATTATTAGTATATATATATATGTATATTTATTTAGTGCTGAGGCTTGAACTCAGGGCCTTGTGCATAGGAAGCAAGCACTCTACCAACAAAGCTATATCCCCAGCCCTGAAACAAAATATTTTAACTCCTCTTTACAGCAGCAAGTTGTTCTATATCCTTTTGTGACAGCTTACTTGAGATATTCAAATAACCATAAAATTCACCCTTTTAAAATGTACAAGTCAGTGGCTTTTAGTACATTCACAACGGTGTGTATCCATTACCACAATTGAATTCTAGAACATTTTTATTACCCCCAAAAGGAACTTGACTATCGATCAGCAGTCACTCATCATTTGTTTTAAAGGCAATCCAGTTCTGAGCCCTCTCCCCAGACTCTGACAATCACTAGTCTATTTTTCTGTTTGTATGGATTTGACTATGCTGGATAGTTCATATAAATGAAACCATACAAGGAGACCATATGTCTAAATACTAAAAACGTTTGTCAGCTTAACAAATTGTTAAATAAAATGTTTTATCTTTCTACCTTACAGATATACCACCATGAAGAAGCTCTGGCTGCAATTCTGAATTCTCAGAATTCTGGGCTGGATGTGGCAGTGCAGAGAAATCTAGCCTCAAGCCTCAGCCCACAACTCTTCTCTCTCCCACACCATGAGGGCTTTGTGTTTGTGTGTGGAAACAACCCACAAATCCAAGTCCTAGTCACCCAATTCCTTGTGCTGTCACTTTCTGATTGGCCTAGAGGGAGGGCAGACCCAGAGGAGAGACCTGCTCAGGTATGGAAACAGGATTGAGATTTCTATGGGCAGGAACAAAGCATCATGGCACGGCTGATGGGGGTGCATGAATCTTCAAGAACCTCTTAGCCCCATGGACTCTGTACCTGGGTTAGGGTGCATTCGTGGTGCAGAGCTCTGAGAAGGGCCCCCTCACAGGGTCTAAAGGCAGTATTGCTGATAATGCCATAGACACCAACTGATTTGCTAAATCAATTGAAATGATCACTGACTTCCTGCAGTATGGGGTATTGTTTTAGATCTCTGAATCCTGATATAGAGTGTTTGAACTGTAGCCAGATTATGAAGGACAGAATATAGCATTGAGTGTGCTTGACATGTTAGTCCTCCCAACTTTAGCTCTAAGAATCACTCACCTAGGTGTTATGAAATATGTAATAACATACATAGTCCTACAAAAGCTGATTGGAACTTGCAATATATTGTAGTAACAAGAGAACACTCGTTTCTGAGAAATTATTAAAAATAATAATCCAGACTGTGCTGGTTGTATGACTATGTCAATTTAGTAAAGATCATTCATTGACTTGTACAATTGAAACAAGCGAGTTTTATGATATGTAAAATTGTATCTCACTCAATCTGGATTTGTTTGTTTTAAAGGCAATCCAGCTCTGAGCTCAGTGATGTTCTTGAGTCACCGAATCTCCATTTTCACCCTGGAGTAATGCACAGTGATATTAACTCCTCAGAAACCATTGGAAATCATGCCCCTGTCCTTCACCAGGTCCATGAATTGCTAAGGAAATACTGAGACATTAAGAAGTTTGGGCAGGAGCTAAGGAGGTAGCCTAGTAGCAGAACACATGCCTCACATATACAGAGCACAGAAAAAAAAATGTTTTGGCATTTCTCAGTAGGTTGATCTTTTTTTTTTTTAAGAAAAAATAAAAGTCATGAAAAGAACTCTCCACCTCTCTCCTACAGATCTTAGTAACTCTATTCGTTGGTTCTGAATACTGTTACTTTTTTTCATTCTTTTGTTCACTACTACCATTAAAAAAAAAAAAAAGTCTTAGAAACCAAATTTTATGCCACTCCCTGTGGGGAGCCACACTGAATGATCTGCGCCTTCCACCCTGAAGAGAGGCTCTGACTGATCACTACTAGTGACTTGGGCCATGTCCAGGTTCAGGAAGTTGAGGGCATGTCTTCAGATGTAGGCGTGTCACCCAAGGAGTTGAGCTCCACTCACCCATTCCTTTGTAACCCTACCCCTTTGCCCTGTTTGGGGTAGAATGTTCCATGGAAAGGCCCTTTGTGTGTCCCCTTCTCTTGCTCTGCCTTTGGGTGTGGCTTTCCTAGATGTCCGTCAACCTGCTGACAGCAGACATCATGAAGCTAGACTCAATACCCCCCAAACCTGACCCCTTGCCTCATTTGAATGGCTTCTCCTCAACAAAAGGGTTCAGCACATGCTGTGCTCTCTCTTTCTCTTTCTTCGGACCCTTAAGGTCAGAGGAGCCATGACAGGACCCAAATAAAAGGTGTGTCTGTCTCTATGTGATTATTTGGTGCAGCCCAGTTCACCTGGGACAACTCCCACTTAGCAAGCTATATGGGGAGAGGATGACTGACGGATGATTCATTTGAAACAAGTACAAGAATGGTTCCTGGATTCAACATTCAAAAATAAACTCCTTGAGGAAATACATTTTTCAATTATTTTAAATGATGATGATGATGCTATTCAGAAGTATTACATATTCACTATGAGAATTTTGGAAGATACTAAGAATTAAAATGAAGAAAATGTAAACTACACAAAAAGACAACATTTATTAACATACTTCAGAAAGTGATTTAACAAGCTTGGCATGGTGGTACATGCCTGTAATCCCAGCGATTCAGGAGGCTGAAGCAGGAGGATTGTAAGTTTGAGACTAGTCTCAACAATTTAGCAAGGTTCTAAGCAATTTAATGAAACCCTGTCTCAAAAAATAAAAAGCACTGGGGATGTAGCTCTGGGGTAAAGCACCCCTGTTTTCAATCCCCAGTAACAAAGCAACAGCAACAACAAAACTGGGTGGCCTCCTCTATGTGAGAATACTGTGAGAAAAAATTTTCAAGTTCTGATTGCGAATTGTTTACTTGGTGGAAAGATAAAGGAGAAGTCTGAAACCATATAAACGTGTGATGTAAACAGGAAAAACTTCAGGCATTTCAGGCCAATGAGCCCTGAGAGGAATGCCCTGGTAGCCACCTGCTGAGGTGAGGAATCCTGGGAGGGCCTGGTTATGGCAGCCCCCAGGCTGCAGTGTGGACTGAGGGCCAAGTAAGCTTGTGTACTTTGGAGTTTGAATCTTGTTTCCTTACTGATTGAATTAGG